CGCCAACCTCCCCCAGAACCATTTTGGAGTTAAAAATTGCTCTGTTGGAAGAATGGGAGGGTCTTCCACAAGTCCTCCTTAACTCCCTTATTAACAGCATGCATACTCGTCGTGCATGCTGTCTGGCAGGGGTGACCATACACTATACTAGAGGCAACACACACTGTACAAGCCTCACTTTTATTGTCCTCTTTTATCCTTAAGTTCAGGCTACACTGGATTTATTGGTAATAGGTCTTGTCAGTGAATGGCACTTTCATTTTTGTTTTGCATACTTTATTATCATGGAATAAGCTATATCCATACCAAATTTCATTCATTTACATTCAGTATTTTTTGAGATATTTGGGAAAATGTCTTCCATCTCTTAATTTTGTCCACCAGTGTAGTTTTAGATGGTGTGGGGCTTAGAAGAACAAATTCAGAGCTTCATCACTCATACAATGAACCTGACATTATTAATTTTATAAATCGACAAAGAACAAAATGGACAGGCCACGTTATCAGAACGGATGAAGACCGTACCACAAAAAGAGTTTTCAATGCCAGACCAGTTGGCACACGAAAAAGAAGTAGGCCGAATTTGAGATGGATAGATGATCTAGAAAAAGACCCTTTGGCCTGAAAAACTAGAAACTGGAAAACGCTAGCAGGAAAAAGATTAGCCTGGAAAAAACTTCTTGAGAAGGGCAAGGTCCATTCTGAGCTGTCGAGCCATTGAGGATGATGAGTTTTAGTTAAATTAGAGTTGTACGTTACTAATGAAATGCTAAATAAAAAAAAATTTAATTTTGGAAAAATGAAATTATTATATGCATTGCTAAAACGTTAATTGCTTAGTTCAGCTACAAAAAATTAAAAATGAAAAAAAAAATGAAAATTAATGTAATAAGACTTTTTAAAAAGAAAATTAATGTAATAAGACTTTTTAAAAAAGAAAATTAATGTAATAAGACTTTTTAAAAAAGAAAATTAATGTAATATTTATTAAAAGCGTATAAATTCCTTTTTTTCTCCAAGTATTGCAAGAAAATTTTTAACATTTGCTATTATTCAATAATACTGAAACCAAAATTCACAAATCCTAAGTCATTATTGTATAAAAATTAGGTCACGCATATATTACTTGATCTGCGGTGCAGATAAGTAATTGTCTACAGTTCTGTTTTGTTTGCTGGTCTAAAACTCTCATCACGATATAACAGAAAAAAGATTCGATACCAATATATTAATATTTAAAACGAAATATTTTTTTCCGGAAAATGTTTAATTAATGTTTATTGGTCGTTTAATTAAACATAAACATGTAGAGTATTATTGGCATAGAAAGTAAGCAAGAATTAATATGATTATTTATTTATTACTTGTTTTTATTATACTTGTATTTGTTTTTATTATTTTTTTCTCTCACACTAGAGGCTTGAGTTAAAAGTTTCTAAAATTTATCGTCGCAAGAGAAACTTTCGAAACTAAATTCTCAAGTTTTGAGCTAGAAGATTTACAGTTTTAAAACATATTTCTACGACTTCCAAACTTTAAAATAGTGTCATTAAATTTGTATTTGATGAATATCTTTTTTGTGCCAACTGTAATTTAAAGTTAAATTTTTATAGAGGAACGTGTGAATAAATTTTTAAAATTAAAAAAGACACTTTTAACACAAATTTCTTAAACTTGAATGGCGAAATCCATCCGTTTTGAAGATAAATATTTTTGACGGATTCCAATGTTTAAAATGGTGCTATAAATTTTACATTTTAGTATTAGTTATGTTCCTGTTTTTTTTCTCCAAAATACCAGACCAATATTAAACTTTATTGATATAAAACTGAATAAATAAACAGAAAAATGTTAAGTTTTATAGAGAAACTGTTATATTTATAATGATACTAGGAACATCTCAGAATTTACGATTTAGAATTCAATTACAAACATTCGAGTGAGGGTTTATTTTTAAATTTCTGCCAATGTGCTGTTATGTTTTTCTGAACAATTTAGATCATTGAACAATTAGATTGTTTTTCTAAACATCACAATTCTTATGATGTTTAGTATGCAAATATTTAAGATTTTGTTAATCATGATCATATTCATAAAGCCATTGTTTATTTGAAAATTTAAATTAAATATCTGACTTTTTGGAGAAAAGTTAAGTGCTTAGTGCCCAAAGAAATATAGTCAAGTATAATTCAGGGCATATATATTAATATTTTTTGATATTTTTAATGATTTTGATCTAACCACAAAGTCTGCACCTTAAAACTAGCTTATAAAATTAAAAAATATTATTTTTAGTGAAAATGTAAGCAAAAATTTAAGGGGCTAAAAAATTAGTTTATTTTGGAAAACTTTTTGCAGTGAAACGAAGAAATAAATCATAATTCTGGAAAAGATAGATGATTCTGCAACTAATAACTCTAAAAATTAATTTCTTCAAAGCGATACAGAATGAAATAACAACTCCACAGCCTTTCTTCAATGAAGCATTTTTTGAAAGGTATATACGCTTGTACGAGAAGCATTAACTATTTATAAGTCTGGATAAAAAACAAAATATACTTTGGTTATGTATATAAATAATTTCAGAAATATGTAGGGTAATTTTAATATGCTGAAAGGTATTAATTATGAGCGAAATACTCAAAACATGAAATTATTATGTCCAATATTTCAACCACTCTTCTGACCAAACTATCGAGATCATAATTTTTATATTGCGTCTATTCCTTATACTGATGGTCAAGAATCCGAATCCGCAGGAAAAAAGTATGTTTATTCGGAGAAAATACGTTTTTGTGTCTGATTTCGTAACTTGAAATATTGTTTGCACTAACTAATTAGCTTACTCGCAGTTACGCCCTCAAGCCTTGAAGTCCTGAAATCCGATCATGTGATCAAAAGTTATTCAGGGTGCTTAATTCATATTTTTCCTCCTCACTGTTCAAAAGCTATTTTTTTCTTCTTTACAGAAATATTTTTTTACATAAATTCTCTCTCTGAATTGCTGATTCACCCTTCCATTGATTCGTAAGATTTCTAATCTGTCGATTTACTGATTTATTGATACAGTTTCTTTCTATCTTTGTTCTATTTCATGTAGAACAAATATCACAAGAGCACTCAGAATAAAGATAAACAAAATATTTATTAACGCAAGTGATTTGACAAATCATATTCTATTTATAAAACATTACAAGCTATTTATGTGAATGATAAACTTGATGTCAAGCAATGATATATAAATATCAGAGAATAAACTATTAAAAATATGTACAATACAGAATTAAATAACAAAAATACACCATCAGAGCATCATAAACAAATATCAATTCTTTTACTAACTCGTTTTTTTCAGCAAGTCTATTCAGCCAAAAAATGAATGATATTTGAAGTGAAAATGGCTGAAATCTAAACCTCTAAAACAGGGGTTTCCGACTTACATGAGGTCGGGGGCCACAATTACAAACACAAATCAAATGGCGGGCCGCAACTTTATCAAAAGTTTTTGTAGCACTCTTTTATGTTTGAAGGAACATTAAATATTACTGTCAGAGTGTTACCAAGTTGTAAAAAACGAAAGTATTGAATGACGAATTAAAATAAGAAGTAGATTTTTAAAAAGATTTAATTGTTATTAATAATAATTTTAAAAATATTAAATAAATAATGAAATTTCGGGCTACAATAACTTTAATGTGCACCTATGTATTAAACAATTAATGTGCAACAGATATCTAATTGTTAAGGTATTAAAACTTACATAGTAGCACACAAAATATTCAGTGAGAAAATTGAGGTTTTTTCTGATGCATCCTACAGTAAATAGATATTTACATTTTAAATTTAAAATTTACAAATGTGTGTGTAAATATTCTCGTACAAAATGGGTGGTTTCAAAAAGTTAAATCGGAGAATTTATTCGAGAAAATTTTTGATACGCGCATGCTAAATTATATTCACAAAATACAAAAAAAGTGAAGTAAAAAAGACAAACATACTCGATTATGTTTGTATTTGAATAAATTTTTTCCTGAATGCAAAACCTGAAAAATAAATTTCTTTGCACCGTTGGTATGTTAAATTTTACAGAAACGAAGAAATTAGGTTTTTATTAACGAGAGAAGTATTTTAAACCCATATAGATTTTTTTTACGAAAATTGTCCTAAAAAAAATGACAACTAATATATTTTAGTTCGCGGGCCACAAAAAAACGCTTCGCGGCCGGATGCGGTCCCGGGCCGCCAGTTAGAAACCCCTGCTCTAAAAAATAAATGGATTAAACTCTGTAGATTTTCCCCCTAGGATGGCCCTCTTCCTCTAAATTAAAAACCTTATATAATAAATTTTTTACAACTTTTTTAATTTTGCTTCATTAAAACTATGACTTATTTAACATTGATTTATTAAAAAAAACTTTTTTTAACCATTCTGTTGGTTAAAAGAGGAGCTGAATTCAAGTCAACGGCCTAGTGATCCATTTTAGAGTCTCAAATTACTCATCAAATTGTTAATTCTGCACAATTGCCCCAGACGTTTAGAGTTGAGTTTAAATGCTATTTTTTTTCTAAACTCAATTAACCTCCTATGTTTTATTTTCGCACTTGTTCAAATTTAAAAAGAAAGTAATTTTTGCGCATATAAATTAATCAAAATGTTTTTTTTCTTCACACATTTAGAAAAGGTTCTTACGAAAATAGATTCACATCTCTTGATAGAAAGGTAAAAAGATATTCCAGGGACTAGGTGATAAGAAATTTCACTAATAGATAGCGTTAGAACGATCTAACTACCACAAAATTCTTAAATACGTCTTTCTGACGACACCTATCATTAGAATTTCTAACAACCGAGTTTAACATAACTATAATATAGTGTTTTCAACACAACACGAGATTATTTGAAAGCCAGAAAGCAAATTGCAATTTAGTAGTTTCTGAAACTGTAATAATTTTATTAAAAACAAGTCCAAATTTTTGGTGTCTCACGTTTTCAAACAAAATTTCAAATAGTTGTATAATGGTTTCTGGAACATGAAAACAATGAACACCGCCCTTTGTCTCTTCCAAAAAAGGCCGCCTTTCTCAGTCTTTCTTTAAAGTCACTTTTGATGTATCTGTTATTAAAAATGGTATAAATTATCCTAAAAGGAAAAGAAAAATTTCATTAGTTGTCAATTTAAAAAAATAAATACAAAACTATTCAAAATAGACTAAAACCTCAGCATCGAAAGGATTGTCCGTCTGGAAACTTCCTTTACGAAAAAATTTAGGCTGCTTTTCAGGTTGTTTTGAAGAGATAAGGTTCATTTGAGGTTTATTTAAAGTGAACTTCAAAAACCACCTTAAAAAGTCAACCCCCAAAGGTTCATAATCAAGGTGTATAAAGTTGTTTTAATTCACACTTGAGGTTGTTTTTTAGGTTTGATAGAAATCTACCTCAGAGCATACAGCTTAGAGTGGTTGCTTTTGAGGTACACATGTTATTTTTTCCTATACATCAAACAAACAAAGTATATTTGAGGTGCGATTAATTTCACATGATTTCAACAAAAAGTATTGTCGATCAATATAGGAAGTTGAAGTGTAAATTAGTTGAAATTGAAGCTCATTGATGTGGTTATTTTTGGTGCAAAATGTTGCCTCATTTTCTGCCTCAGGCGTATTTGTTCACACTTGTCAACCATAATCTCAAAAGCATCTTATTTTGTATAAGGGTTCGTCTTAAATTGTGAAACAAACGATACATTTCAAGTTGAAGTTCACGTTTCTAAATCAAGGTACTTCTCTGCAGTTATTTTACTTTCCGAGATTGTGGGGTGTTGACAAACGCGATAATTTTCGTTACGGCAAGCATTACTCGCTACAGTTGAATATTTTATCTTGAAATCTTATTAATTCATAAATTCATTTTAACAGTAAAAACTAAGCATTCAAGACAAGACTAAGCATAAAACAAGAATTTTAAATATACTTGTGCTAGTATTTTTTAGAAAATTTCAACCGTTATTCATTATTTTCTTTGTTAATGATTAATATTTGGAGCAATAATAAGGAATAGTAATTTAGTTCGTTACAATTCCGCTTTTTCTATATACCATGTATGTATGTGGTATAGAGGGAGTATAAGTTAATGTCTAATATAGTGCGAAATGAAATTTTTGATTATCAAAGTGAAACAAAACTTAATTTTTCAAACAAAAATACCAAACATAAATGACTAAAAAATACAGCATTCCTTCAATAAACGCATTACTGACCAGGTTGTCATGGTGCCACAATTTCGGGCCCAACGGCGGCAATGTGGTCAGTTTAGATTATGCTAGACTGCCCTGAGTAGCTAATGGAAGCTGAGTGAGCTTCATGATGCCACCAAGTTTCGAACCTCAGTCATTCGCAAGGATAGTTCAGTGACCTATCCGCTTAATCATCGCGTCTGAACATAGTTATCAATGATATAACAAAATAAAGATTACATTGTAAAACAGCGCCGTTCAGCTATAGTTATATAGTCTTTGTTAGGGACCTCTTATAGGTTATGGAATGGTGGATTTCTGCAAAACTGTGTAATTAAGTTCTTTTTCAAATCAATACATTGTGATTCATTCTCTGTACTATATGTGAACTACATATTGTGATTTATACAGTATTACCGATTGTGATAGGAATTTGGCTATGCATGCCGGGTTGAAGCAAGGAAAGAGAACAGTGCTGCGTTAAGACTTACAGTTGATTATAATAAATATTTATTATATTTTCCCTCAGAACTATTTGTAGTTGTTTCTGAACTTCCAAGTAAATCAATACAAGTTAGATTAAATCAATTAGGACGATGACGTTGATATAGTAGGTTACAACCAAGGGGTCTGTAATCAAATATTCATTTTCAAGTCCAAGACACTAAAGACACTTTGTCATCAGGGCCTATCCGCAGCAAGGCTCTTACTGTTTCCCTTATTTTCTATATGAAAGTCCTTCTCCACAGAGTCAAGTCACCTAATTTGTGGTCTTCCTCATTTTCTGTTTTCCATGGATAAATAAATGTGAGCATTTTTACTAGATTTGTTTCATCAGATCGTAATAGATGTCTGAGTCATCGTTGTCTATTGAATTTCATGACTTTAAAAATATCAGGTTGTTTGTACTTTTGGTAAATTTCGCAGTTAAATAAGTAACTCTAGCTATTATTTTCATGGTCTGCACCAAATATTTTTCTTAAGATTTTCCGTTCAAAGAACAAATTTTTTTTTTTTTGCAATTTGGTTACTGTAACTTGGTTATAGTATAGAGTAATAGAATGCTGACTCAATGTTATATCCTTTTTCTTCTATGCTAATAGAAAAAGCATTATTTGCGTAGAACGCACAGGAAAATATAATACTTTTTACTTGTTGAACCACAATATCGTTCATATTTGCAGCAACCGTAATACGACGATAATTTGAACCATATTGTAGAGCAAATAGTTTAAAAATTTCAACACGATATTATCGTTCACATTGAGTGGAAACAGGGGTTTATTTTAAACGCATAATTAAAGTTAATTTGTACGATATTATAAGACTGAACCGATTTTTCTGAGAGCATATTAATAAAAATGGATCCATTACAGAATTAAATGATACTAGGAGGCTTCGCCCCCTGCTCGCTGGCGCTCTCCAACCCCCCGGAACTGCTTCCGCAGTTCATTTCGGATTGCTTCGCTGCATCTGCATAAAGCATCTGCTTCGATGAAGATAATTTTGTGAGAATTTTTTTAATAATTCGGTGAGAATTCACCCGATTAGACATATGATGTTCACTTTCTTGCTCGCCGAAGCCTATCAATTAAAACGTATTAGCGTTTTATATAATATTGATTAGCCATATGATGCTCACTACGTGCTCTTGCGCGCCGAATCCAATCAATTAAAAATGAAAACTGTTGCCAGCGCGAGAAAAGAAATATCATTGGTTTTATTGATACATACATACATACGTACGTATTAGCGTTTTATATAATATAGATAGACTAGGAGGCTTCGCCCCCTGCTCGCTGGCGCTCGCCAACCCCCGAAACTGCATTCGCAGTTCATTTCGGATTGCTTCGCAATCCGATGCTCACTTTGCTCGCTCATTGGATACGTTCTTAACGTCTAGCTTTTGTATACTTTTTTGAATACTGAAGTTTTCGAAAACTTTTCACTGTAGAAAATTCTAAACCTGTGCATTTCAATATTAATTTGAAATTGCAAACAGTTCGCATATTTTTCTTAATCACACACTATACTAAATTTCAGTTGTTGAGAAAAGTAACTGTTGTAAGTCTTGTTTTAAAGTCTTTCCCGCCAGAGGACTAAAACCATGTGTTGTAAAGCAATATGAAATAGTACTGAACACCGGATGTAAAGCATCGGCTTCGATGAAGATAACTTTGTGAGAATTTTTTTGATAATTCGGTGAGAATTCACCCGATTAGACATATGAAGCTCACTACGTGCTCTTGCGCGCCGAAGCCTATCAATTAAAACGTATTAGCGTTTTATATAATATAGATTAGCCATATGATGCTCACTACGTGCTCTTGCGCGCCGAATCCTATCAATTAAAAATGAAAACTGTTGCGAACGCGAGAAAAGAAATATCATTGGTTTTATTGATACATACGTATTAGCGCTTTATATAATATAGATAGATACTTACAGTGAAGACACATCCTTTTCTAAAGAAGCCATCCGAGCTGACTGATCTGAAAACTGACAGACCAATCTTTCTAAGCAGTGATTATTTTCGCTCAGCATTCCGCTGCACTGCAAATACGATGCCATGACCTCATCGTTGTAGTCTTGCTTGGGATTCATCTGCTTCAGGTACTTGTGGATAATATCCAGATCTCGAGCGTCTCGTTTGAGGCGAATATTGCTGTCTTCCTGGGTAGGGGATGTTTTAAATGACGAGCTGAAGTTACTTGAAGCTCCCATCAGGATGTCATCAACAGCTTCTCTCCGACTCCTGCCAGTTATCATTCCTAATGGGGGAAAAAAAGCAGCGTTAATATTTAAATAAAGTATTAAGTAGTTATTATTAAAGAAAGTAAAAAAGATAAAAGAAGTGTTTAATATTATAATGAGATCAGTATCATATACGAAGTTTTAACGGGTAAACAAATTCAATCATTCTATTAAGTACATAGATAAACAGGCAAACTGTATTCAATAATTCAGCGTAACTTGTACTGTGATTTTTTATATTCCATGTTATTGTTCTTAGTTCAAGCTATTCGGCATTTTCTTTTTCATTATTATTATTATATTATAATAGTTTTTGCAAACTTAGTGAAGAATAGTACGCATCTACAATCTGTATTGTTCTCTCGCAGCTATATGTTTCCTATTTTTCATTTATCTCTAGTACTAAAATTTCAAAACAAGAATCTAATACTTAAACGAATGCCGAAGGTAAATAAAATTCATAAAAGCAATAAAGATTAATAAAAATGTGGATGAATGAATGGGTGTATGAATGGGTTCGCCCTATAAACGGGTGTAACGTATGGTGGGGCGGAAGTCGAATTCTTGGTCATAGATGACGCCACTGGAAAACAAGAACAATCACACCCCCTCTGCCTAAACAGGCATACGTCAACAACAACAACAACAACAGCAGATTAATAAAATACTTTTTTTAAACTCTTTTCAAGTTTATCTTTGCTTATTTTAAACCCGAAAAAGGACTTCAAAGGCAGTATACAATGAAAAACATTTTGTGGGTTAAAGCAGACCTGCCAACTTTTACGCATTTGGCGTAAAATTTTATTTCTATATTTAAAGTGGTAGTAAAATGTTTGCTTTCTGTATATTCCTTGCATTTATAAACTTAATTTATAATTTTTTTTGACCACCACTAATTTTAAAAAAATTAAGCATATATAATAATATGTATTACTTTCTTTGCATTCCGTTTAAGCTTCTTCAAAATATAGCGTATGTTACTGCCTAAAATTGTAATTTAAATTCCATTTTACTACCACTTGGGAAAACCATCCTCGGAAGGATAAAAAGTTGGCAGGTATGGTTAAAGTTACCTCATGTGGGAGTAACTTCACCAGCAACGTTTTAGAATTTTTACAGAAAAAGAAAGCAGTTAAAATGTATTTAAACATTCTAGTTTTACTCTATACTGTTCTCCGCAAAGTTAGAAAACTATTTATCTTTCACCATCTGATAGATGAACACAGATTTTGTGCCAAAAATTTAAAATTCACCAAAGTAACACCAGATGATTACTTTTTTCAGCCTAAAGACTATAAGAAAAATCTGCATTGCGTTTCAATTACATTGATGTAAAGTATTTGTCACGAAATAATATGTTATTAGGATCAATTTTGAGCTTTCTTAATACAAAGTTGGCATAAATTCTTTAGGAGATATAGATAAAGCGTTTTACATTCTATTGGGATTACTAAATATGAGCTATCATATTGCCATATTGTTGTTTTACTCTTGTGGGATTTTAATAATAAATACTCCAAGTTTCGTTTAAGGAATGTCATCAAGTTATTCTAAATATTCGTTTACCCGCTTCTTTTTTTATACACAGTAAAAATATTGATTGCTGTTGCTGTCGTAGGCCATAAAGGCAAGGGGTGCGATTGCTCTTGTTTTCCAGTGGAGCCATCTATGGCAAAAGATTTGAATTCTGCCGCACCCATACGTCACACCTGTTTATAGGGCGGACCCATTTATACATCCATTCATTCATACATCCATTCATTCATCCACAGATCGTAATTTTGACCTGAAACAGAGAACGATCAATCTCCAATTCAGTACTCCTAGAAGTATAATTTGTTATGGGGACATGGAGTACTTTGTGACCCGAGAGATTTAATGTGCACCAGGTCTCCTTTTACTACAAGAAGAGTCTTCGACCGGCTGGATTCAAACTCCCGTTCTCACGGACGTGAGTCCAGCACCCTGTCAACCAGGCTATCCCAGCCCCAAAAATTTAAATTAATTTTAACTCATAGTTTTGAGTTATTTATTTTAATAAAGCAACTCTTTGCATTCTTAACAAATCTCCTTACACGAATTTAGAATTTTTTACGTTTTTAAAAACGTGTTTTTAATTATTCTTTCTTTCTTCTTATTTTTTAAAAAAATCTATGCATTGCCCTTCTACTTGCGACGTTCTAAAATGTCAGGATGTGATACGTAAACTCCAGCAATTTGGTAAAACTGTAGCCCTACAATGGATTCCCGGGCACTGTGATATTGCAGGAAATGAGAGGGCTGATGTTTTGGCAAAGAGAGACACAAGAATTCTCCAGGCTCTTAGTAGCCCAGTCCCCTTTTCAACTTTAAAAAGGATTGTTAGATCAAAAATCAATGGGGATTTCCATCTTCAATTATCAGAAAGGGTAAAAACTAAAGTGTGGAGAGATCTTCGACAGAACACCATTCCAGACTGGCCGTGCAGCGAAGTGGTGGCTCGGTTTCGACCATATACCGGACATGACTGCCTAGCCGCGCACCTGTTTCGTTTAGGGCTGGCACCTGAGCCCTATTGTTCTCTGTGCAAGAGCCAAGCTGTTTTGGATGGCAGCCACATCCTGTGCTGCACTTAGAGTAGGAATAGGCCCAATTACTCCTCTAAGGTGCTGCAGGACCCTCTGCGGGTCGTCGTCTACCGAGCGATATTGGGAAGCAAGAGCGCTCCTGAGGAAATGACTTTTTACTTTCTTGTTTTGTTCCTGTGTTTTTGCTTTTTAACATGTCAATTCACCTCTGCCATTTGAAATAAATAAATTTAAAAAAAAACTCTTCTTTAAATAGATAATTCGCGCTGTTAAAACTAAATTTTTCCTTGCGATTTCAAAAAGAGTAGTCTTAACGTAATTTACCTTCGGTTGTTAAAGTTGGTAGAATTGCGGCCATACTGCTGAGAGCAGCACTTGCAATGATTGGTATGGTAGCTAGGGGTGCAAGCAACGCTAGCATGCTTTCCAGACTGAAGGAGGTGGGTGCAGGCGTTTTATACCCGTAATGCTGAAATCTGTGGAACTCGTATACATCTCCATTCGGATTTGGCCTGCCTTGTCTTCTATTGTTGTCGAAGTCCCCTGTAAATATATCGCAGAGATTTTATTGAAAAATTATAAAAATTTCATTTGAAATGTATGTAAATATGTTTGTTACCTATAAAAATTATCCCTCCCCTGTTTTCCGTCCAAATTGCAATTTTTAAATTTTTTGCAATCTTCCAAATATTTTGTGTGCTGACATAATTTAAAATAGAGAATTATTAAAAGAAACTATGATTGAATACGCTTTATTGAACTTGAAAAAGTGGGGAAAAACAGAATCACATTTTGAGCTTTTATCGAAATTTAAAAAATTATTTCTTCTTAAAAAATTTATCAAATCCAAGATATTGCGACAATCTCTGATAAAAATATTCCTAAAATTGTATTTTAAAATATTTGCTGAACAAATAAAGGAATGAACAGACAAAAAATTTCTCTCAAATTATTATTTGATATTGTGTCATTATTTTACGAACTTACAACTAAACGCGAATTTCATTTACTTAATAAATGAAATGTTTAACATACCTGAGTATTCGCCAATATCAATTGGAGCACTCTGTCGCCTATGCCCTTTCTTTACAAATTGCTTTATTTTTTTACCTTCAGTTGTTATGAATTGGTTGCTGAGGATAATAAGACACACTTGTAGGCTTATCAAGCGAAATACTCTTAACATCTCAAAGAAATCTGCCAATAAAAACAATTTAATGATAAAATCCATTTTCAAAAAGGAAATTTTTAAGTACTTTTATGTCATCATAACAACTATTTATGTTTCCCGCAGGACTTATATATAACCTGAAAGAATCGAACAATCAATGTAAAGCTAATATTCAAAAGCACTTTTTCTATTTGTGTTACATTTACGATACAACTACTTGAAGACAATACATTAAAATTCGTCTTAACATCTCAAAGGTACACAAAAATATAAATAATTCGGAAATATAAATCTATTATGAAACTAGTTTCTTTTTTTAATTTTTACTTATGCTATACTTATTTTTTTATTTTATTTTATAACCTTCATTGAACAGCCGACCCAATTTTTGGGTTTACAACTACTGATTGAAAATTTTTCCCGACCCGCCTTTTTTTAGGGTATACGGGTAAATAAATGTTTATTAAAATCAAAAAAATCCAGAAAACAGTACAAACATAAAATACATATCAGACATGGCAAACAGCCCATGATCATGGCGGGAGCAGAGCAGCATTGAGACTACTAATGTTCAACTACATAACCTTGTAATTTGAACCCAATCCAGAAGACAAGGGAACTCCTGGATCAAGTATTGGGAGAAATTTGCCTTTGTGGGGGACTTCTTTACTAGATCTAACCCGCATTTGCGTTACATGGATAGGAAGACTACGAGAATCTCCCACGGTTAGCCAGACGGCAAGGGGACTCTAACCCATCATCCATCTACCACTCAGGATATTTCCCGTCAGCACTGTGGTCGGCGCAAGCCGGATGCGGAATTCGTATCAACCAGCTAGGATCGAACCCCGGTTCTCCTTATTGGAGGGCGAACGCTCTATCCCCTGAGCTATCGCGGCTCTATGTTATACTTATATAGCCTTTGGAGATGTCTAAGTTGAACTGACTTCACTTACCTGCCCACTAGAAATTCATCAATGATCAATCAGCTAGAGATGCAACCAATAGAAATGCATTTCAATTTGGATGAGAATACGAATAGTCCAATAGGAATAGTGCAAATGGAGTGCGATAGAATAAAAATTGTATCTGTAAGGGCTAGAGTAAGTACTCAATGATAGAAATCGTTGAAGGCAGAACATTGTAAAACAAACGCTATATAGACTAACTTTTCTTAGTTTCACACACTAGTGTTCGTTGCCCCATCGACATCGAACTAACCACTGGACAGTTTTTCCCTTAACGAAGGGAAATGCCGCTTATTTTAACTCAAAACTTCCACCATAAAAGTCCTAATAATGATATCGAGGATTTTCTTCACTTCTCAGTGTGGCTCTAAACTACAAGAGTTTATATTCATTAAGAAGCTCTGTTAGGATAATTGTTCATCAACGACCTTAAAAACTAAAATAAATAAATAAATAAAAATGCATAGCATTTCAGTTAAATTTTTTTAATCCCAAAGTTGAAAGTAATAAAAATATGCACCGTATATATCTCGGTGTATAAGTTGATCTCTATTTTTGATTATAATATAGCAAATTTCTAGTCTATAAGTCGACAGCTGAACATATCAAATATAAAAATTTCTGAAATTAAAAAACCTACAAAAAGTAGTAAATCTACTAAATTTTCTAAAATTATAAATATTAATGTAAAATTATCTTAACTTTTCTTATCCTTAATTTTTTTTCTAAAAGTAATTTAAAGTATTATTTCCAAAAGAAAACCTTTACATGTGAAGTAAATAGGATGAAAGAAAATGCAAAATTAATTGTATATTACACATTAAAAATAGTTTCTAAAAGGGTTCAATTGATTTAGAATTATTCACATCTATCACATCTATAATGCATTGATAAACTACTATCAATTAATGTTCAACTCAATTACCGGTTTAAAGTCGATCCCTTGATTTTCGTAAAATTTTGGGGGTTTGAAAAGTCGACTTATACACCGGGATATTACGGTATATGCTTTGAAATTTTGACCAGCACTAAACCATATAATCGTGCAAATTAGCAGCCATCTTAATATGGTGCTAGATTGAACAATCTTATGGTGCACATTAAGTCATCTTAAACCTTGTTACGCAAGACTATAGTGCAAGTGGAACGGAAACATGAATTATATTTCAAGGCACCGATAATGTGGTACAACATTGAATCGAGTTTTTTTGGGAGTGTTAAAATAACATCATACTTTATAAGCATATTTATTTTATGATTATGCATATTAGCATCGTCAGAGAAATTTTGTTAACTAAACAACTGTCTAAAACTACTAATAAATTATAAAAAAAAAACCACTGATATAAATTCTTACCTTATATTTTTTTAAAACTCTTTACTCGCAATAACTTGGAGATGAGCTGATGATAAAGAATCTATCTTCACCACACAAACCTAACAGACACGCGCCAAATTTTTGATGACTCCTGACTAAACTGTTCTCATTTGCAATATTTTTCCGACCTAAAGAGATGGTGCGAAATAGTACACCGGAAGGCCCCGCCATTTCGACTGAGTGAGCAAAGCAATACGAATGAGGATATGGTTCAGAGCATCAATATGGTTCCGTTTGAATTCTTCGATGGGCAGTTTATTCCTGGTGCACAAAAGATGGCTCCTGCCTTGTTCAACAGAGGCGATCAGCTTCGACACACTGCCTGACTTCTTTCGCTTTGAATTCATTTGATATATGCGAACAAAAGGTTTTTTTTTGAAACTCGCCGTTCTACAATAACACCTTTTGTTATTTACCTACTATTTAGCGAATGAATACAATCGCCATTTTTGTTCCTTATGTCTTGGAAAGGAATATTCATTCTCTAAGATTACAGAGCAAAGAGCAGTTAAATTAATGAGTGAACTAAATTTTCCTTTAATTGTATTTGTGCATTCATTACAAAGAGAGTAAGATAATAGCATTTTTATTATTCCAGTCAAAATGAATGTGGTTTATAATTTCCCCAAAATTATAAAATTGGTGATCACACAAACTAGTATAAGTGCATTTCTTAAGCTAAGCAAATGCTACTTCATGAAAAATTATAAGATTATATAACCTTATAATCACATATCTCGGGAACAACTGTTACAATTTTTTAACATTTCAATGTCTCGTGTTTACATTACTTGTAACTTCGAAAGTTTTCATACAATTGTATACTGACATTTTTTAAATTTTATTTAAGTAGATTATATATCTAAAATGATTGTCCGAAAGTTAAAGTTAATTTTAAACTATCTCTTAATTTTATTCACTTTTCCATAAGTTTAATTTTACTGAAACTAAATTTTGTATTTTAATAATATTCGCTTTTTTCTAAAGATTGCAAAATAGTCAAAATAGGTATCATGATTATGAACATCTTTTTATTTTCATTTTGCATAATTTATTTAATATAAACTGAAAAATGGGCTTGTTTTTTAACATGGTAGTTCATGCAAACTCTTATGATTAGTTTTTCGTTTTAAGTTTATCAAACTGTTGAGTAACGAGTAGTCAGGAATGATTATGAGGAAATATAATATCGCGGTGTTTATTTCGAAATCAAGGGATAAAAAAGACGGTTAATAGCTTACACCTGCAGAGGAAAGTTATTTATTTTGAATAATTTCGAATGAAATAAATCCATTTTCCTTCCAGAATTATTTATCATAGGCAGCTGCTTATGCTTACATCAGACTATTTTCGTCTCGCTTCTCCAGAAAAGAGAATTGAAGCAATATATTTGCATAAACATGTTAATGCCATGCATAATCTACCTAATATCAATTGTGCAATTTCGGAATTGAAAAAGTATTTTTTTTTACTAATATAATGAAAAATGACACTATCTTTACAACAATCTCTGCTAACTATACCCTGTTAAAAACTTCTTGGAAAAATGGTTAAATAAAAGTTTTTTTTAATTATTGATTTACCATATTCAAACCAAATTGTCAAATAACCATAAATTAGATGGTATTTAATTTGTGAATAGTGAGAAAACCCTTTATTAACAGCTTTCACCTAACTCGGTTAAGCGAACAGAATTTTATCGCATCATATAGGCCCACCTGATGAAGTCACTTAGTTCATATTATACACTCAGCTATAATATAAGATATTATAGCTGAGATGGCTAACCTGTCAATCTCATGACTGACAGAATGTGGGTTCGAATCCCAGCGCTGACACTACAATATTTCCTTCGTTCCCTTTAACACATGAAGAGTTTCCAAAGTCCTGCACTCCCCAATTTGCGACCCTGGGCTATTAAATTACGATACTCTCATTCACACTTGGATGGCAGCACTATAAATCTGCTTAGCATAAAAAAGTTTAGAATTTCCTATCGCTCATGATAGATGGTACCCCTGGTTGAATTTCTCTCTTATGGTTTTGAGCCATGCTAGCTGTAAATACTAAGGAAACCGTATAGTTTTGTATTCATGGTTTTTTAACCATATTAGTTGTAAACGGTTTCAAAACCGTACAGGCATAAATGGTCTCTACCGTAAACTTTATGGTTAATTGGATGGGCAGGCTGCTGTCGGTTATTATATCATAATTTCAGAATGAAAATTCCGACTATGTAAATATTTTACAAATCTTACATAACTAAATATGTTAATTTTGTTTCATTTGAACTTTCGCTCGTCTTGTATTGCATATTGTAAAAATTTTAAATTTAATATCTGAAGAATACATTCTAAAATTTTGAAGTGAAACTTTCTTCCAGTTTTCACGTATTGATGTTCGAATCGAACATTACCTGTGTGGGAGTGCTGTATTATTTTTACGAGGCTTAAAAATGCTTCTTCCAAAAAAAAAAAAAAAAAAAAAAAAAAAAAAAANAAAAAAAAAAAAAAAAAAAAAATTTTTTTGAAACTACCATCTGTCTCTTTTTATTATATTTGACTAAATATATTATTTTAAAATAACCGTTAATATTACTGGCATTGCAGGAAAGTCCAAGATTGGTTTTAAATAACTATTTTTATGTAAAGCCCATATAATAACCCTTTTCTTTTAAAAGCTTGCTGCTTTGTTATAATTTGATTTAAAAAAAAGCGAATATAACAATCCCACCCAAGAAAATGAAACTTTAAACTTTTCCATTTGATTTTGTTTCTTTCAGTCTTGAGTTTTTTTTTTCTTACATTTTTAAATATTAATGGTAAGAAGAAATAGCACACAAAATTGGAAATCATCTTAGTAAAAGTAATCAAGCAAATTATCTTCCCCTCTCAAAGAAGTTGAATTTAGTTTATTATATGGCCGGTTAAAGAGAATAAACTGTAGGAGAATTAACCTAGCCACCATAGATACCTAATTATGGGCAAAATGTAAAGATAGTTTTCTTTATCAACAACAGTAATATTTAATTTCAAGTTATGGAGCGTATTTAAGTTAAAATAAGAGCAGACTTACAGAAAAAAAATTTACGGGAGCTAGTAAATATTTTTTTTCTTCATGAATGTACTTATTTATTTAATAAAGAAAATATTACCAGAATCGGTGAGATTCATAGAGAAATAGTTATTGTTTGTTAATTCCGTATAGTTTGAAGTTGTCAAACTAGCAGCGGAGAAAAAAAAATCTTATAAAATTAACGTACTCACTGGAAATAACATTTCTGGTTAAAAAGAACTTTTTTTGATTAATAGAACCAAAATATACGGTACTTAAACCATTAATTTGTAATTTTTTCGTTCATATGGTAATGGTTTTCAAAAAATAGTTCTATTACCACACATTTAGTGATAAATACAAAACTGAAAAATAAGTGTAAGTGAATAAATGGCTTTTATGCAAAGCTTTAAAGTACCATGATATATTTACCTAATTTTACCACAGTTACAGAATTTAGCTGTATAATACTGAACCATATTTTATTGTTAATTTTACCAAAATCATTACCAAAGCTGTTCGTTAAAAATTATCTAGCTTTTTGGTGTTCTTATAGACCAAGAAACACGGTAAATTTTACCATATCCTTTTAGTTTTAATTATATTTTTTTCTCAATGCTTCTTTATATAAAAAGTTTAGTTTCAAATCCTAAATGTACCGGAGATGAATGCTTTTTTTTACTTAAGTTTTTTTAATTTGAGTTTACTAAAATTATTTATTTATTATTTTTATTATTTATTTATCGTTAATGCGGAGGAAACCATGTAATAGGAATTATTTTCACGATACATAGGCAGCCTACCTATGAATGAAGGCAGAAAGATTAAGATTAGCGTGCGCGCTCAGGAAAAAAATTCGTGACTGAATTATCATGCCACCAAAGAAAAAAAAAAAAAAACTGACTGAAAAAGTTATAAAAATAAAAGTTATAGGTTGCGCTCTGATAGTAGCTTCCGAATTTAATTTTGACATTGACCTTGTATTAATAACCTAGTCATAAAGGGGGAAATTAGATCAAAATTCATGCTCTTATTTGTCATTTTATTTTTATTTGAAGTAAAAAATAACAAGATCAACACACATTTCTTTTATAGATTGGAGAAAGCGCCGTTCAGTAAAATTTATGTAAAATGTAATACGTTCATTATTTGTCGGTTTAAATTTAGTATTTATTTTATTAGGTTTTTGTTAAAATTTTTTTTGCGATACTTATTTAACAAAATAATTAAAAAAAAATCAAAATAGCTTTTATTTTGCTTTTGCTAAACGCTTTTCGGATTGTACTTTCATCACGGAAAAAAGGAACGAAATTCACAGAAGATTCATGAAAATTTTTGAAAATTTTTTAAGAAAAAAAAAATTAAATAAGAAAAATTAAAGGTACGCATGGAAGGACGTGGGATGTTAAAAATAATAAAATAAAAACATGCAAAAGAGCTGAAAAATGGTTTATTTGCATTTTATGTAATCAGGGTTTACAAAAATCATGATTAAAAATTTTTTAATTTTTTTAAAAATTTAAATCAGATTTTTTAAATTTTTTAACTTCTACCAATCAGAACTTTGATTAAATATATTATTAGTGCTTAGAAAATATTACAAATAGAGTAATCAGGTTTTCTCACTAAGAAGGTTAAGATAATTACATAATTACTGCAAACTGATCAGTGAAAAAATAAAATCCTACTTGTTTTGTTATTCAATCTTGATACTTTCATGAATAAATAACGATTAAGACTCCGTTTGTCAGTGAAATATCAAATGAAGAACAATTTAGATCAGGAAACATTTAAAAATAAATAAGTCGAAATCGCAATAATGTAATATATAAGTTTTAAAAGTATTTTTATTTGAATAAAAACAAAATAATTTGGTATTTTTGAAATGTGTTAATTAAATAGCAAATTATTTTATATCACCGATTATAAGAAATAGTAGTTTAATAGTTTCACATAACTTTAATTCCCATTTAGATCTTTTTCAAAAATTGTAAGCGTATTTTAATTATTAAATAATAAGTTTGCATACATTAGTGTCTCATTATTTCTCTGGTTTAAAACTTCAATATCAATCACACCAGAAAAATCACAACCTTAAGAATAAATTTATAAATTATCCTAAACAAAAACGTTTTTAATTTAAACCAATGATTTTTTTAACTAAAAAATCAGACAATTTATATCACGATTTTGTCAAGTGTTTTATCATGCTAGACCTGTATGCAATATTAATATTTTTACTCTAATCAACCGAATTTCGGCACAAAATATTGAACACTGCTCAAAAAAAAAAGAAAAAAAAAGGAA